GGCTTTTTTTTTTTTTTTTTTTTTTTTTTCCGTTGGTGTCTCTCTTATCACCCAGGCTGGAGTGCAGTGGCATGTTGTGGCGATCCTTGTGCCTCAGCCTTCCTAGTAACTGGAACTACAGGCATGCACTATCACACCTTGCTAATTTTTTGATTTATTGAAGAGATGAGGTCTCACCAAGTTGTCCAGGCTGGTCTGGAACCCCGGGCTCAGGCAGTCCTCTCACCTCGGCCTCCCAAAGTGCCACCGCACCCAGCCGACAGTTCATACTTTTTTACTTCGAGTTTTCATATTTATCCTAAGGACAATAAATAAAATGCCTGTGGCTTGGTTTTTACTTTGTAATTAATAATCTGATGGAATTTTCAACAGATGTTTAAATGAAACTAGTGGTTCTACTCAAATGTAGAATGTTAAGAAATATTAAAACCTTTTTTCATTTTAGTCACTTTGTTTAGATTTTATTGTGTGTTCTCATATATGCTGGATTTTGCTTTTATAGATACTGGCTTTGGCACTACTAGTGGAGGGGCATTTGGAACATCTGCATTTGGTTCTAGCAACAATACTGGAGGCCTGTTTGGAAATTCACAGACTAAACCAGGTAGGGGTCTTATTTGGAATATAACTGGTTTATTTGTAGCTGCTATAGGATTTTACCTAGTAGCTCTGATCTACTTAACTTTGTTTTCCTCTTCTCTGTCTCCTCAGGAGGATTATTTGGAACCAATTCATTTAACCAACCAGCTACCTCCACAAGCACTGGCTTTGGGTTTGGTACATCAACAGGAACATCAAATAGCTTGTTTGGAACTGCAAGCACTGGGACCAGTCTTTTCTCATCCCAAAACAATGCCTTTGCACAGAATAAACCCACTGGCTTTGGGAGTAAGTGAGACATCACTGGACTTCTGCTTCTAATAATTTGGTTTGCTTATTGAATGTGTTCTCTTTTCCCTTTTTCCTCTGTTCACCTATCTCCTTTTCCCACCAAGTAGCAAAAACATGGGAAGTGGGAAACTTCAAATGAAGTTGAATAGGCTAGAAAGGAGGGGGTTGTATACATTTCTCTACATCTCTGGGAATCTGCCTGAATATGTGCTAGGTGCTGTGTTTAGTGCTAAGAATACAAGGTGGAAATAAACAACTTATTCTTAAAGAGCTTGCTGTGCAGTGAAGAAGATCAGACCTGTGAACGTTTAAATTTACTCTACCTTGATGTATACTAAATGCAAGGAAAATGCTGTCTGATATAGAACAGCCAGAGATAGAATGAAAAGCCAGGTCCGAGTAGCGTTGTTGATGTTAAGGCAGGAGAATTTCAAGGAGCAATGTGTTTTAGCCAGTAGTGTTGTGCTGCAGAGGTACCTTCTTGCATTTGTTTTATGTTTGGTTTGAAGAGACTAGAGCAGGAATAATAAATACTGGATATGATACAGCTACTTCTCCATTTCTGACACTCCACGGTAGTGTTTTTAATTGATAACTTTTTTATCTTTTAGTCCCAATGTAAAATGGAGCTGCCTTTCTATGCAGCACTGTACTTTGAGGCAACCATTACTAGTTGATCAAGGGTGCTGATAAGATGATACATTCCCAGTACAGGAGTATGGCAGAACGGGTAGTTAACCAACCATCAGTATTTTCCAGAGGGAAGGTTGGTTGTAGAATATTTAAATATTTAAAATGCGATCTAGCCGGGCTCGGTGGCTCAGCCTGTAATCCCACGCCTTTGGGAGGCTGAGGTGAG